AAAAGCAGGGAAAAAACAGACGACATTCCTTAAGGAATTTTTTTTTAAGTTCTGATTTCTTTTATCCAATTCAGGAATTAAAAAAAGGCACAATTCCCATTTTGAGAAAAATCCTTCCTTAATGCTGAGAGGATTGAGCTATGAGTGGGCTCCAAGACTATCTCATCAAGACACACAAACCATGGATAAATTATTTCCATCTCAAACGGGGGAGCAGTCTCCGAATAAAGCTGGCAGTTTAGCTCAAGCTGGAGCACTGCATGCGGAGTCTCTGGGGTTCTGTGCGTGTGTCACACCTACAGAACACCACAATAATAATATTTTGCATGTCACCCAAAGATCTCAAAGCACTTTACAATGGGAGGAAAGGATCATGACCCTCATTTTACAGAGGAGGAAACGAGGCACTGTGAAGTGAAGTCACTTACCTAGAGCAAGTCCATGGCAGAGCTAGGAATAGATCCCAAGTCTCCTGACACCTCGCACCATGCTCTAACCATCAGACAACCCTGCCTCCTAGAACTGCAGCCTGCTCCAGTTTATATACATTAGGTGGGTGGCTGGCTGACAAGGTGCCAGTTACACTGATCCCCTGACAGCTGGTGAGGGAGGCTGGGTGGGGCCTGCATGTGGAATGAAGGGGTGGAAGCTGTGGGCAAAGAGTCCCACGTGGTTTCAGCTTCCTGCTCCACCCCTCCAGAGCTCCTAAAGGAGGGAGAATGCAAAGGTGTCTAGAGGCTGTTCAAGCATAAGACCTCCTTTGCCTGGTTTCCTGGCTTCTCTTTAGCTCCAGCCAAAGGACTCAGCATAGGAGCCTGGATCCCTTTGATTTACAATAACAACAGGCAGGGAGTTTGTTTATTCACTCAGAACAAATAATTGTCTTAATTAAAAGTTTTTGCTGAAGCTGTATCCATCCCACATAGTTAGCACTCATCGTCTGCCTCCCACACACCTCCCGGAGCATGCTTGCTGCTCCCCCAGAGATACATTCATGGACTAGCAGGGCAAACAGGAACCTAGCGCTGACTCCCAACCTTGCAAAGCTTCTTTTAGCCCCCCCGAGCCCCCTCTCCCCACACGGGCAGGGAGCTGTCTTCCTTTGGCACCTTTAACCCTCACCATCCTCTGTGTCCCATCCTGGGAAGGACTAGCAGCTTTCTATGTCCTATACCACTTAACCCTGAAGTCAACCTCTGCCACATATGCTACCAGGGCCTGTTCGGGGGAGTGGAAGGGGGCTCTGCCTCACACACTACAGGGGCCTGTTGGGGGGGTCCCCTGTGCCTCACACGCTGGGAGGGGTCTATGATGGCTGGGTCCCCTCTGCCTCACACTGGGAAGGGCCTGTTGAGAGGTGTGTGGGGGGGTCACCCCTGCCTCATAGATGCTGGAAGAGGCCAGTCATGGCGTCCCCTCTGCCTCACATCCTGGGGAAGTGTCTGAGATCCCATTGAGCTGCTCCAGCACAGGCTGGGAGATAGCGGCTACACCCCAGGTCTGTACTGCAAGTGTCTGTTAGTGTTCTCTCTGCTAGAGGGTATATTCCAGTGCTGGGAAGAGGAGTGCGAATGGGTAGCCCCCCACTACCCTTTCTGTACATCCCCAACATCACTCAGCATTAACAGACAACAGCAACTGTGGTGGGACTCAGACAACCCAAAAGAGCTCCCTGCACTGCGGGGATCTCAGCAGAAAGCTGAGGGCTGGGGTCCAAAGCTCCTTTCCTCTCAGCCCTGCCCTGAAACTCTTACCATTCAATGCTCAGAGACCTGGGACGGAATGCAGGCAGCTCAGCTGAGGCATACTCAGCTTTCCTCCTCTTCTCCTGCTTCTGCTTAACTGACAAGCGGTGGGCAAACTTAGAGAGGCTGCTCTCCGACCTGGGGAGGGGGAAAGGAGAGGTGTTAACTTCACTGCAGCACCTTAGGGACCAGAGGCAGGTTCAGGGCAAGGCTCGTAGGAGGCAGGGGTGATGCAGCAGGAGGCTCAGAGGGGTAGGTATGAAGCAGCAACAGTTTTAGAACTGATTTAGCCGGACAAATTCTATCATTTGCATCTGCACAGCCCTACTGATGCCAGCAGTATTGCATGGGTATAATGGAGGAGCAGATCTTGGCTCCGTAGCTTTAGGCATAATTCTATCCACCTGGGTACAAACAGAGAGTAAGAGCTGTTCCTTTCATCCTTAATCAGTGAAAGAGAATATGTTACTGAGCCCTGTCTGGAGCAGAATGCAGTTAGCTAAATCAGAGAACAAAAGTATGGTGAGCAAGATGCACCCCTATCTGCAGAGCGATTGCAGCTCAGCAGCTGGGAAATCCTTCTTGCCATGGTGAATCTGCAACCCCGACAGCACGAGGTTCTAACTCCTCATCGACAGCAGTTTTCTGCTCATGCAGAAATAAAACAACCCTGTAAGGTGTGAATGTTTTGCTTCAATGTCGATCCGGAGAATTCCCGTGATGGGCAAGGCAGTAGCAAAGGGATGGAAACTGGCTGCTCTGGGCTCCCCCCATGCTGCCTGTTTCACTGCTCGGCAAGATGGTCAGCGCAAGCCAGAAGCTCAGCAACCTCCACAGAGAGAAGCAAAGACAGCTGGGAATGGCACACGTGAAACTTCTGTCACAGCCACACTCCCATTCACAAACAGCCCAGAGCGCTTGCACATCCCCGCCTGGGATTGGAAACACTGAGCACCTTTCATTCTGGGGGCTAATCTGGAAATAAACCCACCAGGGTGACATTTTAGAACAGCAAATAGAACTCATATGTCTGCTCATCAGTTCAAATGTCAGGTCTTTGCACTGATCATGCCCCTTTCCTATATGGATGGAAAGCAACGGGCCAGGGTGGCAGCCACTCAGCAATTTTAGAGAACAGCACCTCTGAGGATCCATAACCAAGATGTGACTGCATCCTCTCTGCTACATTACAGTCCCCAGGAGCCCCCAGCACTGAGACACCCCTACATCCCCTCTGCTACATTACAGCCCCTGAGAACCTCCAGCTCTGAGACACCTCTGCGTCCCCGTTGCTCTGTTACAGCCAATGGGAACACGCAGCACCGAGACAACCCTGCGTCCCCTCTGCTACGTTACAGTCCCCAGGAGCCCCCAGCACCAAGACACCCCTGCGTCCCCTCCACTACATTACAGTCCCCAGGAACCCCCAGCACCGAGACACCCCTGCGTCCCCTCTGCTACATTACAGCCCCTGGGAACCTCCAGCATCGAGACACCCCTGCATCCCCTCTGCTACATTACAGTCCCCAGGAACCCCCAGCACCGAGACACCCCTGCATCCCCTCTGCTACGTTACAGTCCCCAGGAGCCCCCAGCACCGAGACACCTCTGCGTCCCCTCTGCTATATTACAGTCCCCAGGAGCCCCCAGCACTGAGACACCCCTGCGTCCCCTCTGCTACATTACAGTCCCCAGGAGCCCCCAGCACCAAGACACCCCTGCATCCCCGCTGCTCTGTTACAGCCCCCGGGAACACCCAGCTTCGAGACACCCCTGCATTGTTGCTATTATAGTGCCTCATAGAATGATAGAAGATTGGGATTGGAAGAGACCTCAGGAGGTATCTAGTCCAACCCCCTGCTCAAAGCAGGACCAATCCCCAACTAAATCATCCCAGCCAGGGCTTTGTCAAGCCTGACCTTAAAAACCTATAAGGAAGGAGATTCCACCACCTCCCTAGGTAACCCATTCCAGTGCTTCACCACCCTCCTAGTGAAATAGAGTTTCCTAATATCCAGGCTAAACCTCCCCCACTGCAACTTGAGACCATTACTCCTTGTTCTGTCATCAGGTACCACTGAGAACAGCCAAGCTCCATCCTCGTTGGAACCCCTCTTCAGGTAGTTGAAGGCTGCTATCAAATCCCCCCTCACTTTTCTCGTCTGCAGACTAAATTAGTCCAGTTCCCTCAGCCTCTCCTCATAAGTCATGTGCTCCAGGCCCCTGATCATTTTCGTTGCCCTCCGCTGGAGACTCTCCAATTTGTTCACATCCTTTCTGTAGTGGGGGGCCCAAAACTGGACACAATACTCCAGATGTGGCCTCACCAGTGCCGAATAGAGGGGAATAATCACTTCCCTCAAACTGCTGGCAATGCATTACAATATTCTGGGAACCTCCAGACCTGAGATATAACTGCATCCCCTCTGCTATGCTACAGCCCTCCTAACCACCAAGTCCCTACTCCCCTCTTGATACAAAAGAAGACAAGAATGAGTGAAAACCCTCAGCCCTCCCTCAGGCTGAGCTGCAGTTCACTTCTTCAGAGTGGACTCCTCTGCATGGTTCCATGGCACTGCTCCCTGAAGCATGCCCAGGCAAGAAGAAGCCAGAAAAGCCAGAGTGAGGTGCTGAAATGGGATGGTGGACGTTGCATCATTCGATCACCGCTCTCACCAGGCATGTCAGAAGCACCATCACAGGCTTCCCAGAGGGGTTCCACAAGTCGTCCTCAGCTGCTGGTAGCCACTGCCAGTCTGAGCCATTTCCTCTGTGTTTTACTCTCTGTTTTGTTTTAAATACTCGTCTGCTCTGAAATGGGACTTTCCCCAAACAGCATCACCAAACCCACAAGGTCTGCACATGCAGAGTCTCCGGCACTGACTTTTGTGACTCAGATTTGAGGATTTGCTGCTTTTCCTTTCTGTTAGCCCTCCAAAAAAAGGAAGCTGCAATCTAGTTCTGCTTGCACATCATGAAGGTCATTCTCAAATAAATTCAGCCGTCTTCCCGTGGAGCTGCATCGGTATAAACTGAGAGCAGAATTTGAGGATTGTGGGGCTCTAGAGGTGTAGCTCAGGGTAGAATTTGTCCTGCAGAATTATTGCTGGCGACCACTGATGAAGCACAAGCCAGAAAAGACCCACGTTGACTTTCAGATCCCAAGTTCAGCTTGCAGGGCTGGCAGTGCCTAGCACCCCAGCCAAACTCTCCACCCTTCTTTCTTGTAAACTGAGCATCAAGCAACAGCATTTGACATTTAAAACCCTAAAATGTACTGCTGTCATTATTAGTGCTTAATGATACCAGGGCCCCACTGCACCTGGCATGCACATTGCGAGAGATAGTCCCTGACCTGATGAACTTACAGTCTAAACAGACAAGGCAGAGCAAGGATACCCAGGGGTACAGAACTGAAGTGACTAGCCCAAGCTCAATGGCAGAGCTGAAAGTAGAACCCACGTATCTTGACTCCCGGTCCAGTATCCAATCTGCTATGCCACACTACTTCTCCAAGAACAATCAATCTTCTCTCTCTTAACAAGAATGCTGCACCGATGATGGACAATGTCCTGCAACAGCTTCAAACTTTTAACAGTTCTCACTCTCTCCCCCTGCTTCTGTGCTGTGTGTGTGTGTATGCGAGGGTGGGGGTGGGGGGGTGGAGTGCAGAGAAAGAAAAACTGGGACACAAGACTAATGTGGAAAAACCAGGGAAGGTGATAAGTCTGGCTGCAAAGGTGTAAACCATATGGACAGAGGCCCTGGTGATCTGACACATCTGAATGAGAACCACCCGCACGGATCTGCATGGCAAGGAAACAAACTTCAACCTGTTCATATGTGTATGCAGTGTAGCTGTAGCTGTGCCGATCCCTGGATATTAGAGAGACAAGGTTGGGGAGGCAATATCTTTTATTGGACCAACTTCTGCTGGTGAGAGAGAAGCTTTCAAGCTACACAGAGCTCTTCTTCAGGTCTGGGAAAGCTACTCCCAGTGTCACAGCACCGGGCATTTTGTTGTGATGCTGGGAGTTCCTTTCCCAGCCCTGACAAAGAGCTTGGTGTGGCTCAAAAACTTGTCTCTCTCACCAACAGAAGTTGGTCCAAGAAAAGATACCACTTCCCCCACCGTGTCTCTCTAATCTGCTCATATGGCATTTGTACCAGTTTGTGTATCTATATATTTTTTAAGTTAATACATTTCTCAACTGATTTAAATGGAACAAAATACCCCCCAAAAAGGTATTTCTCAGAAATGTGAGCTCTCTGCCTCTCTTGCTGTCCAATAATTAAACAGACCATGAATGGCTAGCCGTTTTTCCAGATATATTTTAAACACAGACATCTTCAATGCATTAACTCTGGTTATTGATTTATTTTTCAGTTCACAAATTGCTGTTGCTTGGGACAGGGTGGAGATAGTTTTTTGGAAGGAGAAGACGTCTCTGTAAATATCACCACTGGGAAAGAGTCGGTCAGACCTTCTGGGGTCATTCTTTACAATTTAAAAAAATCAGTTGCTTTGATGTAAGGGATGGGAGTTTGTCTTTTAAAAAATACAGATTTTTCTCAACACTGAAGAAACCGCTGGGGGGAGAAGGAGTTAGATTAGGAACAATTTAAACATCTCATTAAGTCTGTCTAATAGAATGCATTGCACAAACACCAGTGCTGTCATTAAACACTTTCCTTTGATCCCATGTCAAAGCTCATAATGAGTAATATTTCAATTAGCTGAGGCTTGGTAAAGTGATCTCTCATCTTTCAGGCAGCTTCTGTGTTCAAGCTGTGAGACAGGGAAAGAGGGAACATGGAAGTAAAGGTTCTGTAGTGATGGCCTTTAGAAATGGGACATTTTGTACCAAGTTCAAGCCTGGCGTACAGCGAATGTAACTACCTTTGACTTCCCAGTTCTTGTGTTGCATTTTCCACTATTCTGTTTAGCCACCTGCCAGCATGGAGTCCAAGGTGAATGCTGCACTGGTGGAACTAATATCCTGCGTCCCCTACCCTTGCCTCCTCTCCCAGCTGTCCTCAGCACTCTCTACTGACAGAGCGCTGGATCCTGCAAGAGGATGAGTGCCATCTGAGTAGTACTGAGCACCTGCAGCTCCCACTGCACTCAATAGGAGTTG